GGGCTATCACAGGATATTATTATTCTTTTTGCTCTGTCACTTCATATTTTTCTTTAAAAATCTGAGAACCAACAAATCAAATTGGTGTGGCCTACATGTGTAATTGCAGGTGCAGTACATTGTGCTGACATGATCATTTAAACATGTGAACAATGTGCACAATTATATGTAAATCAAGAAATATCATCCATGATGACATTTGTTTCCCAATCCTACCTGAAGTGTCCCATATGATAGTACATGGGCTGCTTATAGAATTCATCTTTTCTAGAGTCTACAATGATGGGAGCATCCACAAAGTTGTTGGCCCAGTTTGGCCCACCAGTGCCATTTAAGGCCAAATTCCAGTCCACCCAGCCGACAACCCAGTTCTGCAGGTTCTGTTTCAGGTGAAAAACAAGGACAATTTAGACATCTAAATACTAGAGAAAGCAAAGCAGACCCAGTCTACCAACAAATTTCAAATAAACTTTCAGACGTCAAAAACAAGAATCTCTTAGACTACCAAAAACAATTTTTTTCCTACTCTGTACAAAGAAGTGAAGCCCCTGTCATACATTCAGAGACTTGCCCTGTTCACCAGTTGACCAAGGTTGGCTGTAGGTCATCAGGAGCAGATTTAGGCTACGTCTACCTTTACACATGAATCAAATCAAATTTTGAGTTAAATTTGAGTCAAATTTGACTGCCAACCACGCCCTGAACTCCTCCTAAACACCAGTCAACCATGCCTGAATCTCCTGTAATGTACATTGTACATACCCAAATGTTTGAAACATGTTGACCGGCACAGCCGAACAGTAGCCGACCTGGCTGAACACCAGCCGACCTTGCTCCCGACCTACATTTTGTACTCCTAACCATGGATGGGTTTAACAGATTTCTTTGATTTTCCGCATACATGTTTGATTTCCTATCGGGGTTTAGATGATGCAGCAGTGATCTGGAGTCTAAAGTTGGCTATGTGTGACAGGAGCATTACCTGAATGATGTCGTGTGAGTAGTCCTCTCCCCTGCCCCAGCTGCCCAGCACCACGTGTTGGTTCCAGGGGAAGGACCCGCTGCAGGCCTCCGTGGCCAGGATGAAGTAGTCAGGGTGACGCTCATGGGTCGCGCTGAGGGTCAGCGGTGGGACCACTGAGTTCATGTACCAGTGAACACCGATACCCTTCACATACCGGGCAGCTGTGGCATTCTGCAGTACCTACAGGTCAACACAGAGTAGTATTGGTATAATGTATTTAAGACAATCATAGTACAATGTAAATGCAGTAAATCAATGCAGATATTGTTTAATTTTGACTTATTCATTTTGACATTGTTATGACTTACTTATTTTGACATTAAAACTATTGATCCAACACAAAAAGTTGTCTCACCTAGAGCTTTCCACCACTTCAAAGAAGCCACGTGACAAGCCTCACTGGGTCAGTATACTCAGGAAGACCAGAGTGACTGGTCAAAAGCTCTAGGTGTTTTGATCCAACACTTTTTGTGTTGGATCAAAATTTCAACTTTAAACAGGTGTCATTAAAGTTTAAGCTTAGTCTAGGAGCAAAATGCAGGAAATAATGTTTTAGAAGGTCAAGATTTCAAAATTTTCCAGGACAGTGTGGTCCTGGACCCCCTATTCTTGTCCCACATAATATTACAAGATGATGGAAAAAAAATTCAGGCTGGCTAGCTAGAACACTGGTAAGTGGTTTCAAGCCACACTCAGTGGTGCATCTAGTAAACAGTATAACAGTGCATGGAAGTTATAAGTGTGGACCTCTCCTTGGTGCTGAACTCACTGTCAGTTCTATGTTATGCAGTGTAGTAGTGTCTCCAACAATACACAAGGAATTTGTGTTTTAACAACATCTTTCTGCATAATATCTGTAGTAGTCCCTTGGTAGTGGTAAAGAGATATAAAAAGGTAGAAGGTGTTATATAAGCAACTATTGCTTTTTGCCCAATATTCAATAAACATATGTGAATAAATGAAAAAAAGAAACACCACTAAAAAGATATACAATATGCTACAAAAGAAGCCAGACTTCTTCTACTGAAAGATAACTCAAGACTAAACATAGTCCTTAAAAAGCATAGGTGTTGTGAAAGGAGGCCAAAACTTGACTTGCTGACTTTAATAAACAGTGCCTTGATTTTATAGGTATGGATCTCTCCTTGGTGCTGAACTCATCATTAGTTCCATGTTACGCATCAGTTTCTTCAACAGTGCAAACAAGCTTACACTGACTTACAGTATCAGCCCAGGCAGGTAGCCAGATCCTGTTATCATCCAGCATCATGAGGCTGACGTCACCATGTCCCCTCTCCTCTAACGTTGGACCCAGGTCTGCTGCCACCCAGTCACGCTGGCTTTCTGGGAAGGAAAGCATGCTTAAAGGCATCCAATGCAGTTTTTAGGGCTTGGAAACCCATGTTTTCAAAGTCAATATCAGACAGATTGTCAGAATGTTTTTTTGTTTTTGTTTTACCACCCTGAAATTGCATCATTAATAGTAACCAAACTATCTAGTGTGACAAACTACGGTTTTCGTTGGATGTTTGGTCAACGTTGCACCAGAACTTCGCCTGTTGCAGATGACATCTTTTCTGACACACCATTTGGAAACTACAGACATTAGGATGTTAACCTTATATGCACAAATATGATCTTAAATGAGATGTTCTGCCAAAGTGCTATGCACAATGCATTACGGGTTTGGCAAAGGTGCAGTACGTTCTGCCGACATGTTTCAACCATCTAGTTTCCTGTACAAGGCCCGAAATTCCTTTTTGGGAATAGGTGCACTGGTGCACCCAACCTAAAAAATTTGGAGCACCAAAAATTTTTTGGGTGCACAATACACAACCTAATTTACAGATCTTATCGAAATCTAAGCTTGAATATGAAATGGGAGCTAACTTCAAAATCTTACAGAACTACTACAACCAAAGATTTTATCAATATTATTTTTCTGACAGATTCCCAGAATATCCTGTATACTATTATACATTTAGTATGTAATAGAATATGTACAAAAATATTTAGGTGCACCAGTGCACCCACAGAAAAAGATTGGGTGCACAGCTCCAAATTTGGGTGCACTAAGGTGCACATGAACCCAGTATTTCAAGCCCTGCTGTAGTACCTGCAGTCCAGCCCATACAGTTGAAGGAGAAGTCTGTGATCATGCCGTCTGCCGGTTCATTCTGAGCTGTCAGACCCCAGAACTCCAAACCTTGCTTCTTGTACTCCTCCAGAAATCTGGAAAGACAGGAATCCAGCAGTTTGCTTAAGCTGAGAAATAGAAATCCGTGGTAATTTGAAAGAACTATATGCCAAAAAACCGTTACTCAAGCAACTGGATATGATTTTGAAAACGTCAAACAATCGTTTTGACGTTTTCAAAATCATATCCAGTTGCTTGAGTAACGGTTTTTTGGCATATCGTATTACCTGGATGTCTAACCTTCATCGATGAAAGAACTATAGTTTAACGTTTCAATGCTTAATATTTCCTCTTCGGTAGGTAAATAAATCTATCTCAGCTTCCATAGGATTTGATAAAACGTAGGTTACACATTGTGTCAAGACACCTTTCCACAATTGCAGGTGACATTGTTACACCATCTGATCCTTAAGCTACAAGCTTAGATATAAATGTAACATATGAATGATAGAAAAAATGTTGCCTTTCAAGTACAACCAATCTATACTACTATTATTATTATTATAATCATAGCATAATTATTCTTCTTTGTTACCCTGTTAATCCCAGCAAGGGGTAAGCAGAAAAGAAGAAGCAAGTTTATAGGAATAAGTCCTACTTTGCAAAGTACAGTGCCCAAGCCTTGTGGTACTTGTCACCAGCCTGGCCAATCAGAGTGCCCTTCCCGGTCAGGCTGTGGTCGGTTTTCATCCAAGCAGGCGCACTCCACGCACTGCCAAATAAGGACACATTCCTGGAACTCATGGAGAGAGCACGCTGGATGACTGGAATCTAAAGAAAAAAAAAAAATCTTTTACTTTTCTCGTGTGAGTAAATGCACAGGATTTACAACAATTTTGGTTTTTCAGAGACATTACACCTCCATGAAATATTCAGATCTTGTGTGATGGTAACTGTGTTCTCTTCTCATTCACCATGGTGTCTTTCTTTATTGTGCAAGGGAAATCGCACTGTCAAGGAGGTCATGTAATGAAAAACACCTGTGAAAACAGCAAATGCTACGAGATATAGACATAATTAATGCCTTTCTCCCTCTGGGATAGACTGAACCCGACCATATCCAATACAACATGACCTAAGGGCCATGCGGAAACACAGAGACACACACACACATGGAAACACACACACACAGACCAAAAACAATACTTCCATGAAACATACATGTACATAGCAGGTATTAGCTTTTGACTTCACCTTGTACTTGAGGTCTTCCTCAGCCAGAGCAAACTTGTCCATGCTGAAGTCCTGAGGGGAGTCTGCGTAGGTGTACTCCCTGGTGGAGAAGTCACACCCTGCCATGGGAACTCTTCCTAACGTGTACTCAATTCCTGGGGAACATTTAATAACACTCCACATGACTTAATATTGAATACAAAATACAATACAAAAAAGGTCTTTTCATTCAGTGACTTACCAACTTTATGAAACTATTACGTACATGTATGTGAAACAACATTATTGTAAGAGTTGCAATTCACACTCACTCACTCACTATCCTGGATTGCAATTGCTTGTGGATATACACACTCCCACTGTGACATACTGGTACTAAGTAATGACATTTGGGTGCTCTGTCACCCGAGAAGTTTCATCAAGGACACAGTTTACACACAGTACACGTTTCAAGTTCCATTCACAATTTTTCATCAGAGACTAAAAGTACGTAGTTGGATGCTACTTGAAATGTCTGACAGTTTTCAAATTGTTTTCAAAACCTATCCAGTTTCCAGTTTCTGAGTAATAGTTTCCTTTTGCATCTCATTACCTGGATGTCTAACATTCATCGCAGCACAGTTTATCTACATGTATTTCGATACTAACCTTCTTTGGGACTGAAGTAAGCAGCAATAAGCCTGTCTTGAGTGAGTTTGGACAGGCTCATGATGTTGATAGTGGCAGCATCAGTGAAGGCACCACCAAATCCCTTCATCTTCTGGTACGTCACATTCTTGTGGACCACCCAGACGTTTTCTAGAGACAGTTGTTGATTATTTTGGTTGATTATTTCTCTAGAAGTTAGAACAAGCAAGGTGAAAATTTGACAAAATTCATTCATTCATAATGATATACCAAATGTTTAGAAAGGTAAAATTAAATAAAAAAGAACAGATAGAAAAGAAGCATTGAGTCAAGAAGTATCCACAAGCTGTTCATTCCTTAACCTGATTTATCATTATAGTTTAGACTTAGGAACATAATGTTGTGTTCCTGATTTCAGTCCTGTTTTATTTTTAGATTTCAGCTCAAATGATCCAGGAAATGAAGTTCAACAATGAATCTGGACTGTCTCAAGGACTCATTCACCTGTTTTCTTGTTCATAAAATTATTTTGCCCGATTTACCAAAGAAAAAATTGCTTCTGAAAATGCATTAAGTTTCAGACTCAGAGGGTTTGAAATTCAGATGTCTGATGAAAGATTTTATAGCCTTACCAGCAATAAAAAAAGGCTAGGGTTAGCGGGTTTTTGTTAGGATTGGCCGGGAAACTGGAAACACAGCATTTTTTTCCAGGCCTTAGTATCATGATTGTAAACTTTACGACAAATGTAAAGTCAAGCTACATTTGTAAAATTTTTCTTACAAGTAGTCAAGTTATCAACTTACTTGCTTGAGGCACTGTCTGCGTGAATTTCAGGATTTTTTTAATGAACCTTTCCTTTGCCTTAGTAGATCTGTACAGGTTAAAGTTGGGAAGTTCTACCCTGGTGTTGGGTTCAATGTCATCGCAGTAGGTAGAATTACAGACACACACAAAAGACTCTCCAGGAAATGACTTCTGCACACATTCATTGGCACCGTGGACTGGAAAAATTGAGACAAAGTGATAATATTTTATATATTAGCAATCGGAAATGACAAGTTCAACTAAGCAACTTTTTTTTATTACAGAACTAAAAGTAAATTTGTAAGCTTAAAATAGTGGTTTACTATTACATGTATATATGAAACAAATGTGGAGCTCAAAACCAGAGAAATTATGTTACAAAATACATCAATAATCTATTTATAAGGTGATAAATTTTCTGAAACATGGATACTTCCTTTTTTGTACCATTCCTGTTTTGCAACGCGCTTTTGCAACGTGAACAATCCAGCTGGACACCCCCTTTTGGTTCATCAAGGAGCTTTTAAAGCTTCTTGGTTACAGTTTACACAAGCCTTGTGGACAAATAAAAATGGAACAACCTGTCTCAAATATAAACCCCTGGGTTCTTGAGTTAAAATTCTTTAAATTCTGACGTCTTATCGACAAATAATAGTATACTTATGCATGTAACATGTGCGTCTGAACATCGTCAACAAATAAACAAGTATTCTTACCATGTAGAACAAAATACGAGGACATAAAAGTTACGTAAACCAAGAACAGGTATGTTGACAGTTGTTTTCCCTCACGTGTCGCCATCTTGCAATGTGAAAGGTCACAGACTGGGGTTTTGCATATATAATTTTTGAAGGGTGACATGCCATTTTGTTTTCTAGTGTTCCATAAATAGATAAATTATTCACTTCTTCAACCCTTTAGGTATAAATAAATAGTTTGTAAAGTTATTGAAAAACTTCTATAAAAGCACGAATAAGATATGAAAGTCGAATGTACTAGTGCTAAATTAAAACACCACCCCCACAAAGGCTTGGAATGGTATAGACCATATTTCCGCGGCAAAACTGAAGCTAACATCATGGCGGCTTGAAGTTCGAACCAAACTTGACGCTCGCTGTAGCAGCCGTGAGTCCTAACTCCGCTTTCCAGCCACGCCAGGCGAGGATAACCTTTAGATGAGTGTGGCGACTTACCAAGAGTCTCCAGGATGTCTCTGAGGCGATACCGCCGTGACCGTCTTGCCATTAAACTTTTTGAAGCCATCGAGCGGGACGATATCAGGTTCGTTACTCAGACTTGTCACATTTAAAAATGTTATTGGCTTTTGTAGCAGTTGTTTTGTATCTAGTTATCGTGTCAGCAAATGATGTAGACGTGTGTATATCTTCTTAATTCCGTCAGTTTGTGTCTGGGGTTTTCAAATGGTTATTATTTTAATAAGTAGAAAAGTTCACGAAGTTTTCCCTTTGGGACTCTGGTCTGTCGGTCAGTGGTTAGAGGAAGCCCCATCGTAACATGCCACATGTTCTGTGGTATTTTCTTTTACCCGCCCTTGTGGTTTCTGTAGATAAACACGTTACACTGTTTTATTTACATGTTTAATTTTTCAAGTTATACTGTTAGAATCTTCAATTATCAAAATTTGATTCTGTTGATTATCAAGTCACTTAGACCCATTATTGAAACCACACACTTTGTAGCTGAAAAAAAAAAGCATCACGTTACAACAACTGAAAAGAAGTCATCCAGAAAGGACCAGAAAATCGTGCTTGAAAAGCTGTGTAGGAATTGTTGGCCAGGGTTGCAGGGTCAAACAAACACGGACTCCTGCTGTGCCACAAATCTAATTCTGCCCGCAACAATTGACATGAATGACAATGCAAACAATACTCAAACAATACTCAATAGATGCTCTGTTATCTTGTCCTGAGAGGCATTGAAGCCATGTAATGGTATTGTTATGAATAGCACAAATCTGATGACTTCACAGATTTGGCCGAAGAGATATTGCTATATATAGCTTTTGAAATGCACCGAAGAGAAGTCATGCATGATTTGTCAAGCGTCAAAGAACTGATGGAAAAGCATCAGGAGTTATGCTGATGATATACACATTATGTATACAATACTATGTACACACATTTTACATGCACACCAACCCACCCACCCAAGAAAGCACACATTTGAATGGAAAGTGCACACCGAAAATTTAGAAAATTTGATGTCCTTAAACCAAAAATTGTACATCAATTCCAGCGTCTAGTATTCAAATTTTGAAAGCAGTGCACGTGGCACACACGGAACGCATTCAAATTATTCCACAAAGCTTTTGGAAGCCCGTGTGATAACTGTTATCACATGGGACAAAACACCTGTATTAAACGTTATGTCTTCATTTCAAGTTATTCCACAGTTATATTAGCTTAATAGTTTATATGTATTGTATATATACTTTTACTAATTGTTGATGTTGTGCCTTCCTGATGTAGCCAAGCAGAGACATTGCTGAAGAAAGGTGCAGACCCCAACCTGCTGTTACCCACACAGGGTGTCACCCCCTTTCACCTGGCAGTGGGTGTGGACCGGGCACTGGACTTTGTCAAACTCATCCTCAGTTATGGGGGAAACCCCAATGTCAGGTAAGGTTAAGAAGATAACTCAAGATTTTCTTAAGACATTACTAGTATGTACATGTACATATGGTGTACTCAGTACCTAAACGTAACATCAGGTACAGGTACAGAGATTTAGATACAGGTCCAGACCTGTACCTGTACAATTTGACAAAATTAACATATATTCTTGAAGTTCTTCTGAACTTCCACAGACAGTAATAAACTTGACAGACAGAATCTTAATTCAAATAAATCAGGACAGAACTAGGCAGTCAATTGTAATATAAAAAAGCAACAGAACCATGCAGATTGTTTCTTGTTGAATTCATAGTGTCCTACAATACTCTAGCTGTCCCTGAAAGTCTGTCATGTATTACGATTAGTAGTATGTGCCCTCTAGATCTCACTTTACTTTTATTAGTTTATTATTATTTTATTAGTTTTAATCAATATGGAATTTAATTGTATCTATTTCTCTGTTTGCCACCATTTGGAATGTCCCATGTGCATGGTATAATTTGCATGGGAATATTTCAAGTACGGTATCATGTAGAGGTATTTTGGAGGTACGTAATACAGTCACTGATCGAAGAATTTCTACTAACTGTATCATGTAGCTATTGAATAAATACTTACAATGTCATGGTTCCGTTTTGACAGGGATGAGGAAGGAACCACACCAGTCCACGTGGCAGCGTCCTGGGGGAAACTGAAGTGTCTCCAACTGCTGATAGTCAATGGAGCAGACCCTCACACCATCGACCAGGTCAGATCATCTGTACTTCTGTGGTGTTATGTGGTGTAATAGTTAGGGTGTACGGTTCTGGAGGTCCTGGGTTTGAATCCCTGACAAAGTCTTCAAGTTGTGCCCCTGGGAAGGCGCTTTACACGACTTTCCTCACCAGTGTAGGTCAGGTTCTGGTGTAGACATCAGAAATACCTGCACAGCCCCAATTTTACCTGCACTAACCTGCATATACCCAGTATATGGACCAGTGCAGGTTAGGTGCAGGTAGACGTAAAAAATACTTGCACAGCTCCAATTTTACCTGCACTAACCTGCATATACCCAGTATATGGACCAGTGCAGGTAGACATAAAAAATACCTGCACAGCCCCAATTTTACCTGCACTAACCTGCATATACCCAGTTTATGGACCAGTGCAGGTTAGGTGCAGGTAGACGTAAAAAATACTTGCACAGCTCCAATTTTACCTGCACTAACCTGCATATACCCAGTATATGGACCAGTGCAGGTAGACATCAAAAATACCTGCACAGCCCCAATTTTACCTGCACTAAGGTGCATACACCCTCAGTATTTCGAGCCCTAAAATGTGTACTACATCTGTACATATGGGAATGACAAGTGTTGGCTGTGTTTTTTTTCAGGAGGGTCGGACAGCCCTTGACATGGCTCTGGACTATGGAGAGACGTTCTGTATCCAGGCCCTGCAGGAGTACGAGCGGTCTGCCATGGACATGGGCATGGAGGATGTCATCCCTCAGTACAACTACAGTCAGTCTACTTTAACTCATATCAGTTCATCAATTAAAGTTGAATAAAGTTGTTCTTGTTTTTATGTTTGCCTTCGCATAAGGAAAACATTGTTGTTGCTCCATTTCTTCTTCTCCAAAGAAATAAGGTTAGTGACCTGAACCAGACATCTGTCACCATGGTAACTGGTGTTGGGTTACATCATGTTGCAATTTTATAGCAGGAGTTATATATGAATGTGTTTGAGTAAGAATCAACAGATCAGACCATATGTGAAGGTAAAACATTATGCATTTGCTTTGCAATGCTTGCAAATGTTATCTCTCTAGTTTTTTTTAAACTTTATGAATTAATATTTTATTTTCTCCCCAGACTTGCTGTGTGGTGATGTGGTTGACTATGTGGAGGAGATGGCCTCCAACTCGGTGCCAAACTTCAGCTTCTCTCGTGACCTCAGCGCCATCAGTTCCCGCCTGCCCAGCTTTGGCGATGCCTTCTCCTCCAGCCGCATCTCCAGCTTCGGGGCCGGCCTCAACGCCTCGGCTGTTTCCACGTTCAGCGTCCCGCCCATGAGTTCCACTCGTATCTCCAACTTTGGCCCACCCATCAGCCCCTCAGATCTAGAATCAAGCCATCTGACGTTCAAAGAGGGAACCACCAAACCGGTCAAACCAGAAGCCGCCCTTCCTAAAACCCCCAACAACACCCCCGAAAAAGCTGGGAAGAACAAACCTAGGTCTAGTATATTCGGTGGATTCAGATCTAGAGGCACCAATAGAGTTTCTCCCACAAACATGGAAACCGCTCAAACTGCCAAGTGCAATGTGCAAGTCATGGAACCGGAAAAGCCATACGTGGATGAGGTTGATTCTTCCAGTGTCTTTCAGACTCAGAATGTTCAACAGCCTCCTACCTACAAACATCTCTTTCCCAAGGATGGAGCTACATCTGCCTATCCAGTTGGCAGGCCGGATCAGAAGACCACAGGCAGTGTGGTGTCCTCCCCAGACCCGGATGTGACGTTCCCTAAGCTGCACGGCAGCACGGGCTTCCAAGTCAAGCCTGACGACAGGAGAAAAACTCAGGTCAGTGTCAGCAGTCTGCATTTTGCAGGGACATTTTCAATATCGCAGAAGAAAAATTAAGCAACCTGCAATTTTGCAGACTGAAAAAAATCAGGATAGGGGTTCAATGGTGTTTATCGGTATGAGCTTTTGACAAGCTTTGTGTTACTACTGAGTCTACAAGTAATTTTGCATGTATTTTTCAAATCGCATGTAAAATATTTGCCCATATGCAATTTTGTATATGCCATGGGTTTAGATCCAGACTTCTAAGTAAGTGTGTATGTGCAGAAAGTATTTCTGAATTACAGAACAAAATTTTGACATTCTGCAATACTGCAGAATACTGATTGACTGGAAAAAATTATTTCTACTACTGCAGGTCTACAAACGTCCTGGAACAGGAAACTCCACATACGCCGTAGACTGTGGCACGCAAGTCACCCGACCCTCCAGGCTTCCTCTCGTGGATTCCCCCAGCGAACCGCCGAGGAGAACCACTCGATCGTGGAGCAAGAGAGACGCTAAGGTGGGACCCATGGACGAAATCCAAGAAGCGGCTGTACAGGTGGAGACCAAGGACGTTAGCACCGGAGTACAGGGTTACAGCTTGTTAGAGAGCTGTTTCCACAGAAGAGGTCTGTCGCACCTTGTAAACCAAACCCTCCACAGGAAGCAGAAAGACAAGAAAGATGTGGAGAAGAAGGATGTGGAGAAAAAAGATGCAGGCACCTCCATGCACGTGGACAGCCCAAACCGAGATGCAGCAACATCCATGGCAGTGGACAGCCCATGCAAGTCCCCAGACGTGTGCTCTCCAACTGTAACTCCAAAGAAGGATGCGAGCACCTCGCCACTCATACTTCAAGAAAGGAAGTTCAAGCCTGATAAACAAGAAGAAAAACAGCAACAGATGCAGCCTCAGGGGGTGCCAGAAAGTGAGTTCTTGGACTCAAGGAAAATGAAGAGATTCAACTCCAAGCAGGGTATAGACTGCACCTCTCCTGACAAGTCTGTTGAGTTTGTGAAGTCCTCCAGCGAGTCGTGTGACTCGAGCAGTGTCCTCCTGGACAGGACGTCTGTGTGGGTCAGTGCCCTGGATGACTCCCTAAACTGTGAAGAGGACTGGGAAGAAGACGGCAACAAGCCCTCCAGTCCTACACCTCATGCAGACAATCCTGAAGAAGTGAAGAAAGCAGCAGATCATAAGGAGAGCAGTAAACACAACGACGGCAGCCCTGTCTCTGACGACAATCCTGATGCTAGACATACCTCCGGTGGTAGGGATGAGGAGCAAGGTGACCAGAGTGATGACAAAAGAAGTGAAGACAAAAAGGACAAAGAAACTGAAGCACAATCAATATCAAAAGGTCTTGAGGACAGTACTGAAAGCACTACGCTAGACAAAGGCTTTGTAGATGAAACTGAAGCAAAAACCGATAGACTAGAAGAAACAGGGAAAGACAACAAGAGTGATATAGCAGCAAGTAAAGAAGAGACTAGCCATGAAGAAAAGCTTTCAGAAGGGCATATTTCCACTGATGATGATTCTTTAGATAAAGCCGGAGAAGAAGAAATGGCTGAGGAAGATGAGGAGGATAAAGGAGATGATGGTGATGATGAAGATGATGGTCATGAGGAAGATGGCTCTGGTAGCCATGGTGATGAAATGGAAACACAGATAGCTGTGCAGATGGAGGGCACCTGTATGACTGAGGATCTGACAACAGTCACTGCCCTGGAGGAGGAGGAGGAGGAAGAAGTGAAGGAATCAGGTGGAGAGGAGGACGGGTGGTCAGAAGAGGAGAACAGAGGGTCAGAGGACGATACAGTGTCTGATGACAAAGAAGAAGGCCAATCTTCAGACAGTCCTGAGGATGAGGACACTGAGATTGAGTTCTCTACTCCAGGGGATCTGGGCATGAGACACCGGGATGGTCAGTCTCCAGAGCTAAAGGATGACAAAACTACAAAGCAAGACACAGAAAGTATGAAGGGGAGTGAAGCAAAGGGAGACGCTTCAGGCGAAAAAGCACAGTCAACAGTTGAAGAACTTGTTGTTGAAGAAGCAGTTGCGAATGACAGTGAAAAGCCTTCCGCTGCAGTTGAAACATCTAAAAGTGAGCCCACATCAGAAATGACAAACTTGGTAAACGACTTGTCTAGGAAGCTCAGTCTAGGGTCTGGTTCCAGTACAAAGGAGCTCGAACCATCCAAGGTTGTGCAGACAAAAGGGGAGCAGAAACAGCAGGAGAAGAGTTTCCTGGACTATTCCTTCTCAGATACATTCAAGAGAAGGCTCAGCGACACACTTGTGTGGAGAAGAGGGCAGCTTGTCAGTGAAATGTCTGTTAGTGAGAGTCAGATAGGCGCTGCACACCAGCCCAGCTTCCCTGCAAAGCACAGATTTTCAGATGTGCAGAGGAAGAGCAGCGTGAAGTTTGACAGTTCAGTAACAAAGTTACCCTTGGCAGATGCAGCCGCAGGAGAAATCTCTGGAATGCCATCGAAGTGGGTACCTGGGATGCAGAGGCCAGGCTGCCTGAAAACAACCTCCAGCGTCACTCAACCAAGCAAAGCTGCTCTGCCTGCAGATATCAGACAATCCAAGAGTGAGGGTAGTGAAAAAGAGCCAAGAGTTCATTTTATGATTTCTTCTCATCCAAGAAACCTTAGAGGTTTCGATAAAGAGTATGAAAGTCCCGGGATGTCGGACCATTTCAGGGAGAGACTCGGCCACAGGTTTGCACGTGTTCTTCAAGCCGAGAATGGGGCTGAAGACAGCCCAGACAAGAGCGAGTACTGCACCCCGGTCTCGGACCCAAGACTTCTGAAAGACCCGCTCATGAAAACAGGGACCGATTCAAGGAGAATCGACGGCAGTGCACTGGGCAGCTCTTTCGGGAGCTGTAGAAAAAAGCTCCTCGGATCATTTGCAGAGGTAAGCAGTGTGACCAAAGAAGAAGCAACCCTGGCGACCGCCTCTCAAACTGCGACCATGTCCGTCCCCTCAGACACACAACTCATTCCCGAAGAAGGTATTACGACCACGAACAATGTAGTTGCTGATGATGACTTCAAGACCAAATACTTGATTGACTACGCAGACAAGCTGAAGAAGAGTATACTGCTGAACCCTCCCAGATGGAAGCCGTATGAGGGAAAAGACCCACTGACAGAGGAGGAAGAGACCCTGAAGGCCAGCGGCACCCTGTCTCCCGGCTCAGCCACCCTAGTGTACAACAGTGTGGACCCGAGTAGTGCTGAAGAGGCACTGCTCCTCGAGGGAGGGCTGGTAGAGAGAAGGAAGCAGCTGCTACAAGCGAAAGCAAGATACATGAGCGAAATAAACAGTAGGAGTACAGAGGGGTCAGCCAGGTCTGGGAAGGATGATGCAGCGTCCTTGACTCAGGCCTATGGCCCAGGCAGCAGTCAGTCCTCTGACCGTGGCAGCTCTCAGGACATGGACACCCTCGATGGGGACTTCAGAAGAAAGCTCATGTTGAGGACCAAGTCGAGTGTTACTGCAGCTAGTGCAGAGAGCGGTGTGCCTTCGTATCTTGTTGATCACGACCAGGAGACCATTCCCTACGCGGTCTGGGTTCCCAAAGGCTACAAGGGAGCCCGGCCCTTTCACGGCCAGGGAGACGACTCCAAGGTGGCCTTCAGGAGAAGGCGGGCAGAAAATGCCAGGAAGTTCACCTGCCTGAACAGGTCACGGCGGGACAGGTCAGACCTCATGTCAGACATGGAGTTTCTCACCTCAGACAACACCACGGACGAGAGTTTACAGTCCATGCTGGGACTGGACAAGGATCGCTATGCACAGATCTTCAGGAAGCCGGCCTATCACTTTGAAAAGTCAGTCGTAACGACCGATGACAGCTTGCAGTCAGTAGACAAGAGGCAGACAACTCAGCGTTTCATCCACCCTACTCCAGGGCCGCAATACGGACCGCCTGTTGGGGCTCCTGATAGGTCGTTGATGACATCCGACGACAGTCTGCCATTAGGTGACCACGATCGGTACTCCCAGCGTTACCTGAAACCACCTCCTGCTCCTGTAGCCTCAAAGGAGGATCCCAGTCCTCCAGAGATGGGTTTTGCTCTCTACAGTCAGCCTTCTAGTGAAACCGAAAGCCTTTCCAGTCAGGAGCCGGAATACTGCGTGGAAAATGAGGTCAGCCCATTCGCAAAGACGAGGCGCTCCTTTGATCCCGACGCCACCGTGGAGTACTTGTACACCGACAACGGCGACGGCATCGCGCTGATCGAGCGCAGGTGTCCGTCGATGTCGGGCTCCTCCCACTACAGCACGGCCCTGGAGGACCAGTCGACGGTGAGCTGCGAGGACACCATCCTGTACGACTGGAAGGCGTACTTTGCGGCGGAGAGTGAGGCCGAGTCAGAAGCGGAGGTGGTCCATGTTCCGCCGGAGCTGCAGCAGCTGAGCGACCAGCAGCTGCGGGAGAGGCTGGAGGCGCTCGGCGAGCTGCCCGGACCCGTCACTGCATCCACGCGGCGCCTGTACCTGCTGCACCTGGTCAAACTGCTGAAGGACCCGGCCATGGTCCGCTTCACCGGCCAGCAACACTCAGGTGGGCACAACCTTTCTGTTGTCTATTTAGCACAATAAAAGCCTGTCACACATTTATCACTTTGTCCTCCCGAACACTAACTGAACACCCCCATGGTAAGGAGTAGATCAGGAGCAACGGTCGGTTGGGTCGGCTGGTGTTCGGCTAGGCCGGCTACTGTTTGGCTGCGTCAGCCCAATGTTTCAGACCTTTGGATGTGGGTGGCCATGTGCATATTGCAAAAAAATGTATTCATTAGCATCATGCCTGTCGTTATAGCCTTAGAAGACATTCATAATGTACTGTTCCTGCCCTGTAATAAAATGAAAATCCCATGAATCTCCAGGATACCTCCCGGAGCTGGCAGCCTGTCTCCATGGTAACCCAGTGAAGGACATGATGGAGGAGGAGGAGGTTCTGTCCCGACAGTTTGAGGATCCCCAGAGGATGTGGAGGGAAGGTCGTCTCAAATCCTCCTTCAACTACCTGCTGCTGGACCCCAGGGTTACCAAGAACCTCCCAGCTAGGTGTGTTCTACTGGTTCATTATGTTTACCATTATGTAGCAAGTCTTCTCCAAACAAAGAAGTTCACTTCAATGACCTCGACCAGAAGGCTGTCACCAATTGGTAGCTGGTACTGCAGTAGACACCCTTTAGTGTTGGGTTACATTATGTAGCAAGTTGCAGGACAGGGTTGGAGGGGATGTATGAATTGAGTTTCTGTAAGAATCTTAGGCTAAACCATTTTTAAGTAAATGTTATGCATTTGCTAAATGCAAATGTTACTTTTATGGTGTAAGTTATACTAAGTAGCAAAAGGAGCTAATGTAGAGAGTTTTCTGTGATGTAGCAATACCACTCTTCTCTTTCAGGGGTAGATGTATGACTGACACAGAGATCTTCAAGGTTTTCATCTCTGCCATCTTCTACATCGGCAAGGGGAAAAGGGCACGGCCATATGCACACTTCGGGGAGGCCATACAGCAGATGGAGAAGCCAAAACACAACGTAAGACATTTAATGGAGATCTAATAAACAAACAAACAAACAAACAAACATTTGTACCATGTCTTGCTGTACAGCAAACAGTCACTTTTTTATAATGTTTCTGCTCTGCTTCTTCCTCTTCTCCTAAGGTTAATGACCTGAGCCAGACATCTGTCACCATGGTAACTAGTGTTTGGTTGCATCATGTTGCAATTTTATAGCAGGAGGGATTTAGACTCCTGTCACCATATATATGAATGTGTTTGAGTAAGAATTAACAGAGCACACCATATGCGAAGGTAAACATGTATTTGCTCTGCAAATGTTACCTTTCTAGTTAACTTTATGTCCCTCAGCCGAGTGACAAGGTGAAGCACATTCTGGACATCTGGGCCAGTGGCCTGGGTGTGGTGTCCCTGCACTGTTACCAGAGTGTCATTCCTGTGGAGGCTTACACCCGGGAGGCTTGTATGGTGGAGGCCTTTGGTAAGTCCAAACATGATTGCAAGACTGGTGTGGGGTTTATTTTCTTCCTACCGTGCCTCATCCCTGCAAGAATGTGTGTGTGCGCATGTGTGTGTTTGTGTCTGTGTTTCTGCATGGCCCTTAGGTGAGGTTGTAATGGATAACTAGTTCAGTCTATCCCATATCGCAGAAGTCATTAACCACTTATACACTGGTAGCACTTGCTGTTTTCACGGGTGTTTTTAATTACATGACCTCCTTGACAGCTGGTGTTGTTTCCCTTGCGCAGTTAAGAAAGACTTGTAGACACCATATGTAGTGAATATCTAAATCTAGATATTTCATTTCTGAGGTCTCAAGAATTCTTGTTGGTTTTTGCCCCCATGTTAATTAGGTCTGAGCAGGCTGACCAATAAGAAGAAGGGTGACTACTACGGTGTGGCGGCCACGTGGCGGGCGAGGAAGAAGAGGCTGATGGGAGTTTACCTGCTGAAGAAGGCGATGCAGATCTTTCTCAGCGAGGGCGAGCGGCAGATCAGGCCAGCTGATGTCAAAATCGGGCAGTGATGGCTTTTCAACTGACACAAAATATCCAAACTACAGCTCTGAATGAGTATGGACAACTACAGTAATTATATGTCTCTTGACGATCTCGATTGCAGCACCCTTGAACATGAAATTGATTACCTAATGAAAAATTATATCTCTATGGACAAATTTTGACCGTTTCCAGGTATTGTGGTCCAGAATTCACGAACATTGTTACTGACAAAACTGTGCAAACTTTGAGTAAAGTAGTATGGTTACTATTGACTAGGTACATGTACACTGTTGCTTGTTACCCACAGCATGAAAGGTTTTCTATCTTAAACTAGAATTTCTGCAGATTAGAAATGAAGTCCACAATACATACCGGGACAGTTGTTCCGCAGTTCAAACAACATTTTACATGATGCCATTTTTAGATTAGTGTAGACTTTTATTTTATCTCAATGTGGAAATGTGGACAATTTGTTTTTAGTACAAAATGTGATGTTCACTTTTATCAAAGTGTGATCTCAAAAGATGTTCCAATTCATACAGTTCTATGCTAGTTCCTAGCTGTGCACGTAGAAGAAGTTATTCCAGGCCAAATCAGTTTGAAACACTTTGTTGGGAAAGTTTTGTTAATATCTGTGATATAAAGTTGGCCAGATTCAGTTGACGTTGCAAGGATTAGTTATATTGTTTTTGTAAATGTTTTCCTATGCTGTACAGTTATTGAGCTGAAGACCACAGACAGGGTTTGCATAATTTGTGAAGAAAAAGTTGTAAAGCAAGTTTTTATTTTTGTTACTACATGACTGTAAATGTTTAACCAATCCCGCAGAGGATTAAGAATTTATGTAAATATGAGTCAAACTTTGTTTCTGTATCCATTAAGTTGTACATGAAAGTTTGATTAAATCTTTATTTGCTTTGAAGTTCTGTTCACAGCCACCAGTTGATTTTGGATACAGCGATATGAACTGTTCTCAGGAATTACCGTGCCATGTTCTAAATGGTAATAAAATCAATGTTATGCCAAAGACTCTGAATGATTTGTCTTTATATTTAAATATGGGTACATTATAACACCATTGCATGTTATAACACCAATCATTTGCCCCTTTTTGTCTTTCGTCATCTTAAATGTGTATTACTATGAGACTGTCATTCTTATTCAGAATACTTACAAAATAAAAAAATCAACATGGCCAAAACGCATTCTAATTTTAAAAAACTGCAAAAAGAGACAAGTGTTCATGAAGATTTTTTTAATTCTATAGTCCTGACAAGATTTCAGATAACAGCAGTTCTTTTGACTAGCCCCCATTGCCCTTTTACAATTCAGAATATGATACAACATAAAAGTGCTACTAGACCAGAAACATCCGAATTTGCCCTAACACTACATGTACCTGTGATGACTATGATGGGAAAGTTGCTGCAGTCATTTTCAAGACAATAACACTCCAGCCAGAGCTGTACACTTCTTCCCAAACCAGCAACAAACTGAAGTAACTTCTCTGCATTCTGATAAGCTGTTAGCTTTACGGGGAATAAAGTCATCTTCTTCTTGACCAGATAAAAAGTTGATGCTGCATGGCCATTTCCAAGGTCTACATCTTACTATTTCGACAACGAAATGCTTCAATTGGAATCTATTCTCTTACAAAATCAGCATTGGGATGTACCTTGATATAAATATAGCTTAACTCACACTTAGCAAAACATCAAATAGTGTAAATTTCTTCTTTCACGTGGAATTCTTTTTCTTGGCTCGCATTGTAGTCACTGATAAGACTAACAAAGTTATGACTTCTGAAGTACTGAGTCTACTGATGACTTTAAAGTTTTTTAAGGAAAGGAAAGAAGGCAGGGAAACATTCTTCAGCACACATAAAAAACATTTTGAATTGTATCAGAATGTCCGGCAAAGTTGGAAAATGAAACTGTTTCGTCACTCGTCCTCTCCAGAAAAACTCTGGAGTTGTTTCAAAATTGATATGTACATACTGTTATGCTGTTGTTTATTCTTAAGAGTGTCAGAATTAGTTCCATGTTCATCAAAGATCATATTTTTTTTATTGATAGAGTAGAGTAGTACTGAGGGTGATCGTTCTAGTTCAGCAGCCTTATTATGCACACAGAATTGTGTACACGTATTGAACGTTGATTGGCAGTAAGATTACATTATATATCAGTCATGTAACACTAGATAAGAGATGATTGTTTGAATGAAAAAGTCCACAACTTAATTGTGGAAGACTCCTTTTATACAAGTGAACGCAAAGCAGAATCGTAGTAAAAAGGACAAATGATTTGAAAAAGCTACCGACATTGGTCCAAGCTAACAAGAAACACAGATGTGATGATATCTATACACACATTTATACCTGATTTTTTATTGTTCGACGAGTCTTCCCATATACCCCCCTTATCAACTTCACCAATAGAAATATCATATTCATACATATCAATCATTCCAGGCTATGTTATACAGCAGACAAAGTTCAACAGAAAACAAAAAAAGATTTTTGAAGTTTATAAAAATCCTGGTGGATTTTGTCAATCTTTTTTTCTTTGGGTAGACTGAGTGGACTGTATAGGGTACGTGTAAGCTATCTGCGTTAATAAAGACTACCCGTTAGTCAAACATAGACTTTTGCTGACTTGTTGATTATCTGGGGTCTAGGCTGTTGTCCATGTCCATGTCCGTTCGACTCCCATCCAAGCTTTTTCTGCAAACAGGGCACGTGTTGTGCTGTGAGAAAGAAGGAAGAATTGTTTGCTTGAGAAGAACTACAAATGTAGACTACTGTTTCGTATGTTCCTTGGAGGCAAGGCAATAGACCAGTTTACCTTTCACGGATCGCATATATGCATGAACTGCTTACGTCACAGGGGGGGGGGGGCTCGTCACTGAATGACATCCAGTAAATTTCTAGCGGGGACCAATCAGAGGGCTGCTGAATAATTTATCAAGGCCCACGGACGCGGTTCTTTCACTTGTAAAGTAGCCAATTACCACCGAGCCGGTGGCACACGATGGGCGAAAACATGTATTTCACACCCATTGTACGTCGACATAAAGCGCTTATACATTACAAACAGAATTTTCGTAGGACTGCCATTACTTTAGTTTGCAGCATGTGTATTGAGAACGAGTATCTTCATAATTCTGCTGGCTGTTTGTAGAAGAACGGCAGAATAAAACAGTTTTCAATACCAACACGACTTAGCAGATAACACGTAATGAAGCCCACTTTTTTACGCAGATTGTATCACTACGCAATGTTACACAAACTAACAGTAGATGTTTTAAGGAATTCACAGAAATGACAATGATAGATAATGTAACGCATATACATTATACAGCACAAAATAAAGAGTAACAGTAATGTAGTCGTCTTTGGCCGGGTATGGCAAGTTATAGTACGTACATGTATCGGTTCAATCTTTAACGGGTAAGTTGACAGCAACAAGCAAGATGCATAGGTTCTATTACTTTTGTAGCTCACTTGCGTCTAGATTTGGGACGAACCCATGTTACTTTTTCGCCGCAGTTTTTCATGTAGTGGTTACTTCGACAGCCTTTCTGCTGACGCAAACATACTAGTTTGAGGTTCCACAGTTCTTACAGCGTTAGCGCTTGAAGTGGTGTTTTCCAAGTTTGTTGGTCTGGTGATGTTGTCTTTGTTGGCTTGTTGTCTGTCATTTCCCTCCATTTTTATGTTTGGCGGCCCGTCTTCGATGGGTTGGGTTTGGTTCACAAATCTCGGCTTCGCTAAGATCCGTTCCTTCCCGTACGTAGTGGTCGCTCGCTCCATTAGTGCTAGTGCAGCCACATTTGAATGTGTAAAACTTAATGTCTACAGTCCCGTTTTGATTCGTTCATCAAAGTAGATTTTACTAAGGTATGACTTTACTAAGTGATTGTGGAAGTACTAGTACTTAGTACTGATGTAAACAAGAAATAATATACGCGCTCTGGTTGAGTTCATGGCATTTACATGAAACAAGGTGCTAATAGCCGCTAGTCGGTGACGCGTCAGCAGCCCTATGATTGGTCCCCGCTAGAAATCTACTGGATGTCATATAGTGTACATTTCAATTCAAATAGAACCTGGAAGTTGAACGCGGCTTTCATTTGCGGTGTCCCCCCTGGCAGATCGCTGCAATGGTCTGTATTCTGCTCTCAGATACCAGAATCAGCTTTCTGGTGAGATTGGGTGGAGGGAAACAGGGCGGCTATCCTTCAGCAAAGTATCGATAAGCTTTAGACTCATTGTACGGGCCCAGGTCAGGAACTATCAGAAATTAAAGTTACCCACGTCTGGAAATCTACTGATATGTAGGGTTACTTACCATTTCTAGCCATGGTACAATACAGTCTGAATGGTAACAGTGGCCACAGGGTAGCTGCCTTATCCTCTCATCCAGGTGGTACTCTTCTTTACACACAGTACATTCCAATCCATTATCTGTAGGGAACAGCAACATGGTTATTATGCGGTGAACTATTCTCAGCTAGCTCTACCTAAGTTTTAAATGCAAATTTTGAATGTAATTTCAGAGGCAAAAGGGAAAATACTCTGAATGAGAAAATCTGTCTGATATTGACATTTACTGCTGCAATTTCTTAGCACATTTTCATACTTGAAGTGTTTGAAATAGGCCAGAACTTACCAACTTGTTCCTGGATGATAGTTACTGTGGGGAGGGCGTCTATCATCTTCTTGTCAGCGGGAGGGGGGCCTGTTCCATCCAGCTGGTTCAGTAACTGAAACAAGCAGCAACATTACATCACAGGTCAGACTTTACAAACACAGATGCAGGGAAAGGTAGACCAGAGATATTTCAAAGTTACCTGATGTTCCTCATAATCATGAGATGTTTACCTGGGTGATGATGGCATCCAGGCCTCCTGGACCCCACGCATAGTCACCAGGGTTACCATGCAGGTTGAAGAAACCCCTGTCACAGGGACAAACAACAACTTCAACTGGACATACTAGTAGCTTTTAAGATATAACTTTTAAGATATGAGTTCTTATAACTAACAAAGGGGCCAAAACTTAGTTTGCATTGTTGCAAGTTGACAATCATTGAGTTAACAATACAACCCCACTATTTACAATATATACTATATAATCAAAGACACTACTACTACTACTACTACCACAACTACCACTACTTCCACTACCACTAGACTACCACTACCATTACTACTACTACTACTACTACTACAAAATGTACATGTACTACTGAATAGCACCATGAACACCTATTTCATCACTCACTCACTCACTCACTGTCCAGTTTATCGTCTGTTCATATCAGTAACTAGAGTTCCACGATCTCATACCTTCGCCAAATGATGTTAGCTTTTATGATTAAGAAATTATATATTAGTCCCCCTAATTATGCAAATAGGATCCTCAATTGCATGAATTATATCTGTTGATCATATACTCCACCAAAAGACAGTCTTATCTTAACAAAGAATGCCATGATGATATTTTCTCATTTATTATGCAAATGAGGTCCTTATTTGAATAAGTTATGTTTAATTATGTTCACCTTAACTTAACTTTCAAACACCCCAAGTATAAAATTCCAGGCAGTTACCACTAGTGCACTATGCAATTATAACATTTTCTCATTAATTATGCAAATTAAGTCTTCATTTGCATAATCAATATCTGCCTGTGTTTCTCTCATTCTTGATAACATATGTCACAAGCTTGAACTTCCTATTATGGAATACAGCTGATAAATAGAATTTCCTCATTAATTATGCAAATTACATCCATATTTGCATAATTGTAATATCATTATGTCAAGCATCACTCAAGCTACCTACATACCAAAAATCACGATGATCCATCAATCGGTTCTTGAGTTATCCCCCTTTAAACATTTGTCCATTAAACCCCCCTGCAGTTCTAGAGCAAGCAACTAGGGGGCTCAAACTCATGTCAATTTATCCCCAGCACAAGAGCTATCTACCATCCAAATTTCGTCACCCTAGCATGTCTGGATCATGAGATATCAAAACCGGAAGTTCTGCTGCAGTACCATGACAAGCCGCCAGGTGGCCCAAAATCTAATCATTTTGAGGTCTCATCAAGACCTACCCACCTACCAAATATCAAGACAATCCATCAAGACCTTCTCAAGTTATCGTGTTTACAGACACACACACACACACACATACACGAACGCCCCTGAAAACATAACCTTCTTGGCGAAGGTAATAAATGGTGAACTACTTACGCTGGGAAACCTCCAGTCCCTGACTGTAAAACTGTGAGAAAATAGAAGAAGGAAAATGCTCTTACATTTTGGAAGTAAAGAGGAACTATAAACTATACATGGCAGCTTTGCTATGGGCTCATTCATGAATGTCACAGCAGAAGTCATCATCAGGGAGACAGTTCAAAGAGGAATGAATGCAAAGATGGGTGTTTGAAACTGAGATGTATGTATTAACAATTTAATAGTATTTCCCATACTGTTGTGCATACTTGAAGCATTTGAAATACACATGTAACCCTAAAACATTTTGAAAGCTATTTGAATGCATCAACATTGTGTACATTGCACCACCCATAAATACAGGTAGCTAGAACCAGCCTATCATAAAAACAAGCAACCAGTGACAAATAAATGGTGACAAATAAATGGTAAGGACAGCTAATCTCTAGACACACAGGACACACTTGTCACAACAGAGAAGTGCAAGACATAGGGACAGTAGACGGCACAACAGGAGTCATTTTCAGCATGCCATCTAAGTAGCCTCCTTTGCACTTGACTTCTTGGAGCTTTGGTGTCTTTTTTTTGGGGGGGGGGGTTGCTGATACACAATGTTTTTCATGGGCTAATTATAAGGTTCTCTAAATCTAATGCAGCAGAAGGAGTTTTGCCATGGTTTGAGTTTTGCCTCTCCAACATTCGAAACTCTAGTCTATGCTGGGGCTCCCATACTCGCTCCCTAAAAAGAGCCCCGGCATAAAAATAAGATGGCAAACAGGCTAGTGAAACTCCGTCAGCAACAAACTACCCCTGCTGCATCAAAGCTTAGGCTGTGAAAATAATTGTATTTCAGCACTCCCCCCAAAAATAAACGCTCACGTTCAAAGAAGGTGAAGATGCGAAGGAGGCTACAATGCAAGCACAGCGCTAGCTGACAGCACACAAGAGACAACGTTCAGAAATTCGAGGCAAAGCACAGAGAGAGAGAGACAGCAGAAGTACAGAAAGCTGAAACTCAGGACAAAGAATACATACAGACTGGTGGGTAAAGCCCAGTACCTGCAGCCCCTCCCAGTCCTCCTAACAGCTGCTGGATGATACTGTGGGGAAACACAAGAGTCTGTTACAACATAGGTTAGGCCATGGTGAGTTCATTACATACTGAACAGGTAACTCTCTTTCAATGCTAGAAATTGCCCTATAACTTTCTATAACTTTTTATAATTTTCTATCTGATTTTAAAGCCTTTCAATTTTATAACTGAATTGTTGTGTAAATATGAATGATTACGCTGACTGTAAAAAAAGGTGCTCTTGATTTTAGCTTGAGCAGAAAATGTTTTTAATGTTTTGCAGTCAATTTCTGTAATATCAATTATTAATATATCTATATTAAACATGTACCTCTCTAGTGCTGGTGACCTGTCTATGCCCCTGTGTGAGGCAGGTCTTGTTCTGAAGCGTAGCTGTGTCCTGGGCAGCCGTGTTCTCCTGTCCCGTATGTCCCGTTCTCTGTCCGCAGAGCCTCGACTAGGCTCCGTTAAGGAGGGGTCCAGGCCCAGGAAAGTCCTACTCCATAACTGGAGTATTATTAATGTATATCATATAGATTAGCTTATATAGATCATTATCATATACAATGTACATAGCTGGATTAGACATCGACCAATCAGAAGGCTCTATTTCCCATTGGTTATCAGGCCTTGATCTCAAAAGTGGCCGGTTATTAACTTGCACAAACTCAACATCCCGTACTGTCGCACCACTCGGTATAGAAACTCGCCAATCCCCTACATGTGTCATTTGCTGAACAATGACGGACAATAATTACTCCTGCCTTAGAGTCCTCCTCTTGATTTTAAAATAATGAAATGTACATTGGTTCGCAATTCAGTAACTTGTATTAAGTTTACTGCCATTGATCAATAAGTAATTCTTGAGTCTTATTAGAATAACTGACCACTTTTTGGACCATACCATTATACAGGGGACAGGAAACTAACAGTAGTGTGGTGTGTAATGGAAAAATTTTTTTACTATTCAGTCAACCTTGATGGACAAAATTGACAAAAGTCTTGGTTAAACTATAAAAACATCTAAAGGACCACCACCAAACAACCTCAACCCCATGGTTTGCCTTTCAAAATGTGGGAAATTGAGTTTTTAAAGGCTTGAAAATCCTAAATTTGCCCTAGATTGTGAGCAAGTGTAGTTCTCCCCCCAGGTGGTCCGATCATGAACCTGGGCTGACAAAAAAAAATTGAGCTGGCTAGAGCCCTAACTAAGTCACATGTAAGTACGTGAATCATCAACCAGTCTGTCTTGTAGTATGGTGGAGGATCTTTTCTGGTACACTTGATAATCTAATTTCTGCCATAACTACAACTCTATCCTTCAACACACTTTAAGTGGTCTGAAAAACTATACCAGGCCCATCTTAGTCAAAACATTTAAAGACAAAACAAAAATGAAAACAAAAAAAAAGCAGGAAAATGATCCCAGCACAGTAACTCTATCATTAGTTGAACAGCTTTATAGATGGATGTTGCCAGTGTCTAATATGAGAAAACAATCTTAAGATCCTTCTTACCTCTGCAAACTGCTCTGCTGGGTTGACATCAATGTTATTGGGACCGTCTTCATCATCCTCCCTGGTCACAATTAACATGTAGACATAAACAGTCATTCATTTTGAATGTACACATCATTACAGTGTCTCAAGTGTAAGGATAGTCTCCAGACTAGTAGATGTGTCAGACATAATCATATTTTACATCTATAGATGCACCACAAAATTTTGTCATCTAGGACTATAATACTAATAGCAATTACATGTTATACGTACTAACAGATAAAATACTAGAATAGGTTTTAATTATGTTAATTGATTGAATGAAGGAAGTTTCTGACTGAATGAGTACTGTAGGAGTGTATTAATATACTATTATGAATTTTCTTACTGCTGTCAACTTATATCATGACTGTTTTACAATTAATTTAGAAACTTATTTTGTTGATTGTTGACTGTTTATCGGTAACTGACTGTGTACAATAATTGTCCATTCAATAAATTCTTTCTTAAATATTTTTTTTGAACGAAAGGAAAGAAACAAGATTCTAAATCTGAATATGTCTCACCCTGATGGCTCAAAAGTGTTGTCTGTCAATTCTTCTATGAACCCTGAGTCACATCTTGGGCAGGTGTAGTCCTAGAAAAACGGGAGAAAAAAAATGAATGACAACTTATATTGTCCTCCTCTGTCTACAAATTGCTAAAATGTCTCCATCTTATACTTAAGATGGCAATAGGAATCATTTTTATATAGTAAGCTTTATTTATGACGTTTGTATGGTCTATAACTAAACATATTGACACTCACAGGCACGTGGGTACAAAATGATTAACCTACATACCTTAGACTATGGATAAATCAACATGTTGAGTTTGGTACATCAAGGACATTATACTGTATAATGTCCTTGGGTACTTAAAATGAATGGGAGGTCACTACAATTCAATAGAATGGCGGGTGGTGAATAGAATAAAAGGACAAGAGCCCTCAAAATATTCTAAAATCACACCAACTATCAAAGAAACAGTGATACAACAACACTTATCAGTTATCTGCAATACTAGTAGTTCTGCATAACAAATATAACCACAATTAAGTGCTTTCATCGATGAAGGTTAGACATCCAGGTTATATGATCTTTTCCAAAATCATATCCAGTTGCTTGAGTAACTGCTTTTTGGCATAAGTGCTTTCACTTTCAGATTTGTATTGAGCCCATATACATATAGCATTTTGTATTGACTGGATCATATATGTATTTTCATAAACACTACTTTAACATTTTATGACATAACAAAATGCTTAGATATGAATATTCATTTCAATGATTTGTTTGAGCATTACCTATTAGCCAAGCTATCTCAATTTGAGAAAATATTATAATACAGGGACATCAAGTACTAATATTTAGTACTACGTAAATTATATTCAAAACCTTAAGTTAGCTTGCCTAGGGTCTATGGTAACTCGAGAGATCACACAAACGCTTATAGTCTGTGTAATGGTATGAAATAAGACTGAACGTGCGTAGTATCGATTGTGAATTCTTAAACAAGCACATTATGACAGATTTGGGGTTTTCCGGTAGCCATCTTCGGTCCGGTGCAAGGTGCGCTGTTTTCCGGTCACAGCTCGCCTCCTGATTTTGAGAATTCGATGATACACAGTATACATATATTTGGGTAGCTAACGTATTTATATCAAACCACAGGCCCGGCTGGATACATATTCAGAATCACCCTGGACGAGACACGTCGGAAGAGCATCTTAATGATAAAATTACATCATCGTTTGAATGTGTAATTTTTCCCATCCGTGCTCCAAGGCAACAGACGAAGGTCGAAACAACCCCGAAATAGACACTATATAAGCACTTCTCGGCAACCAACGAACATAGAAATTGTGGACAACAAAATAGGCGTCTGTTTTGGCGACTTACCGGTAGCTTAGGTTGTACTTCTTGTGTACATTGATGGCAAAAATACACCGATCCTGTCGAAGACTGGTCGACGGCAGCCTCCGCCATGTTGGATTCCTATCGTCAGAATGACGTCACCAAATCACGTTTCTATCTCAAGTCTCGCGTGACAGGGGGATGGGAACGAGATGTAGAAACGAGAAACGGCGAGACATCTCAGCCCCAGGGTGTGGTTTACTTCAGTATTACCCCCTCTGGTCATTGTAATGAGTATCATTGCCCTACTTATCTGAGGTCGGTACATTGTATCAGCACACATAAAGATAAAGCTCCTTGGATTCAGATGCATTGGATTATATGAATGACGAATGACGACCTTTATTGCACATTTTTGCTACACCGTGGGCCTAGTATAATACAAAACATCATTTGAACAGATAACGTTAACTAAGAATAGATTAGATAATATAAACATTTTGTTAGATAAATTCAACTTTTATAAATTATAGAGAAGTTGGTTTCAATATCTATTGTCTACAGAACGTTTACTGAATAAAAAGAACTTTTAGGTGACATTCAGTTTGCTCATGCAGTCCTTGAAACTTGAACTGCTTAGTCTTTTAATAATTATTTCAAGAAAATCTAAGACAGATTCATAAACATTTATAGTATCTCTCGCTACGTTATACTGACAAAAATAAAACTAACATTTACATTTTCAGCCGTGTAAGTCCGACGTAACACTGATTTGCTTCCTTGCCTTTTGAGAAAACTGAGAGGACTGTCTAACTATGATCGTGAAAGCAATGCTGCTATGCTAGGCCGGATGTAAAGACCAAAAGCTTGTATTCAACCTCCTTGGTTCAACTGAGGCCATCAGCATCATAAAAATTTTCCGACTTCAAACCCGTTAGCGTTAGACGATACACACTAGGCGTCAGATCTGAATACAGGACGTAGTACCCGGTACAGAGCAACAAAATGTGATTATTGATTTTATTGTTGTCTAATTAAGTTCCTTCCCACGTTTGCTTCGAGTTACTTCTTTCACTCTCATGTACTTTGCGACAAGGCTGCATTTACAAGAGGGATTCAGCTCCCGAATTGCTTTTTTTCTTTGTACAATTTTTGAATTTTCATTTATTTTGTTTAGCCTCCGTAGCAGGCTTATAGAACTGGGGGTTTGGTGGTCTTCGGCTGTTTTCTGATTAGCCCAGTTAAAAAAAAACGGGGGTAATTCAACCAGGCCGGCTATGTTGTCTATATGCAATAGAAAATAGCACATAAAAGCTCCCAAAGACCCTGAAGACCCTCCAAACCCCTCGTTTTTGGTATGCTGTGGAGGCTTTATTTTGTTGTTATTTTTTGTGTGCTTGCTTAGCTTGTGTTCCATGATCCGGGAGCAATGTCCTTGCCACAACACCCCAGGCGTTAGTTTTGCGAAACGTCACCTGTAGCCAATCAGAACAGGAGCTGATATTTACCTACATGTACACTGGATCCTCGGAAAGCTGTTTCCAATAGACTGTGTCTAAGTCAACTCGAGAGTAAAGATCAGCGGGGTCGAACTTTTGCCTGAAAGCCTGGAAGCGTGGCATTTCGGTCAAGCAGAGCAACTGAGTACACAATTAGACCAAACAGCTTAGAGGTAAAGACGTCAGAGGGACATTCAGGGCGTGGAGCTAGCTAAGATCTCGGCCATGTAGCAGTGAGAAACGTTGCGCAGACAAACTTGCAGTCAGAGAGTCACTACTGTACGTGGCTGTCTGGTACATGGTACCTGTCACCGTTCAGCCTTCAGGTAAAAGTGTTCAAGTGGGCGTCTGTCAGCCATGTGTACACATCATCACATCATATGTAAGGGTAAGTCTCTATTGATCGCTACCAAACTGCATACATGTAGATCATAACAACAAGGCAGGATTCACTGATGTTGAACAACATATGTATATGCCATCTCGATCGTTGACCTTCTGTCTGTGGCAGACTGTGTCTGGGACGAAGGGACATACAGTATATTGTCTTCTTGTTGAATTACATTTACACACATCATCGCGTATATACATGCACGGCTTATATATATAGACATGATTAGCTAACTGTATAGATACTAGTGCGTTGTACTTCTCTTGATATATGCACTGATAAGTAGCACCGATGTTGGTTATGAATCATGTTGGCATGATTCCAGGGTAACAGATAGGTAACTTTGTTGGGAGTAAGGGCACTGCGGTTCTCTTATAGTCTCCCCCAGGCTATCAACGCGGGTTCAAAACCAGTCAAATTTAGCCAAATAGGGAGAGTGCTAGTTCATTTGCCCGCACAGTTCAGGGGCGCAAACTACCCTTCCCATGGACTGACCCCATGGCCAATTATTCTTCCCTTTTTGACAAATTCTACCATCCGTACCCACACAGGGCCTCGTGGCTCTTGGCAAGTAGCTCATGGCTCATGGCCTCAAGTAGAGGCGACGACGCACATGTACATAAATAAACGAGCAATCCAATACTTCACAATGTGTTGGGAGAGTCAACATGACACGTGTAGGTATTGTAATAGCTGGGCAGGGTTACCGATACACAAATCGTCTGTCTGACTGATATACGTACATTTAATTTGGAAACATAAAACCTTCCAGTCGATGATAAAAATCATTTTCAATTTTGCATGGAAGGCAGTCAATACAGTTAGTCACAATAAACCGAATTTAAAGGTCGTTGGCAACACACAGGTTTTGATAGTGGTTCACAAGCCCAGAAGGCATCAAGGCTACACGCCCAGAATGTAGAATGGAACAGCCCAAGTGGCTTGCTCTTTTTCACCATATCCTCTTATTTTGCAGTAAAATCTGACTGGGTCTAGATCTTGATCGGTAGATCCACTCCCAACCTCACATGACAACTTTCGTTTCCTTGTTACGTATTTACGTAACGTGTCTCGTCTCTTTCATTCGATCCCGGATCTTTGATTGTTCTAGAAAAAAACGCACGCCAGCTTTGTGAGCACAGCAAACAACCGGCAGCCAGGAATATAGATCGCGCATAGCACTAGCAGTCACCACAACCCTTCCTCTACTTCAACTGACACTTTTTCTTCTAAAACTTGTGAAAAAAATGAAAAGAAACCATCTTTGTGGATGATTTTAGTCCCATGTATAGCCGCAGACCTATGCATAGCCGTACACCACTCGAACTTTACGACTAAATTTTTTTAATGATAATCCAACGTAGAGAATGATAGAACACAACACAGCCACACGCAGAAGTACAAGGGCAGACAGCTCGTACAATTAGAAGGTTTGCATTATCAGTGACAATTCACGTACTGTGATTTGCTAATGTAATAGTTTTGCTGTGTAACATAGGGCAATACAAATTCATTCATTCATTTTTCATAACTTCTGTACTTCAAATATACATGACCTGTACTTAGTTTGCAAGAGCATAAATGTACAATAAATGTCAGTCATTCATTCATTCAGTCATTCATTCAATCAGCCGATTAACAAAGCTCATACTTGCATTTTCTTTCAGCATGATGATCCACATTGATTTTCTGCATAGCTGAGGACAGCCGGCCCACGTGAGCATGCGCATCGCCCACTTGGTCCCCCCGACCCTCCTATGGATGGTGATCGTCATGGCGGGGGTGTTCAACCTGCTGCAGATGCTGGGACAACACATGCTCGCCAAGCGCGCCGTGAGACTAGCCCCGACCGAACAGGTACGCTTCCAATTCCGCCAAACGGTTTTTAGGCCATGTTGATTTAATCATATGGATGACATCCTCTGAAAACTCCCAAACTGATGCGAACGTGCGAATTAAAAAAAGTTTTGCAAAAAAGAAGTTGTTTTCATTATGAAATATACGTGGTTATGAAGGTTGAACAAATGACATAGAATATGGTATGGCGAATAATCTACTCTTCTAATTTCTTTACATTTTCGTCTTTTTCGCCTAAAAGCAGTTACTCAATAGAAAGCAACCGGATATAATTTTGGAAACGGTCAGACGTTTCAATGCCATGGGTGAGAATGGAAAAAAGTTGATGTTTAGTGTCAACGCCTCATATCTGGACGACCAAACCTCTCCTAAAAACCTGCCCATTATGTTGTTGCCTTACCAGGTTTCCAAGGTGTTCCCCTCTCTGGATGACAGGATATCGTCTGAGCGAACCGGCGGACTCGCCAACTGGTCTGAGGGAATGTCGTTACGTCACGGAGATGTTGGCATTGGGGGAGAGGGGGGACACATTGCAGGAACAAACTTCAAAGAGGAGGAGGTGGAGGTAAGTCAAGCTGAAGAAATGAACATCATGTTAGAGGTAGCTATATAGTGGGGAGAGCAGAAAAGCAAAGAATTTTGACAAGAAACACAAAGAGTATGTTGTAAAATCAATGTACAAGGGATCCCACAGAAGTCTACTGACAGCAACTGTCCGCGAGCAACTGTAAACTTATTATGTTTACCGAAGGAAAACATAGTTTTTGCTACGTTTCTTCTTCTTCTTCTCCAAACAGTGACCTTTGACCTAACTGAATCTGACTGTCTCTCACCATGGTAACTGGTGTTGAGTTACACCATGTTGCAATTTCATTGTAGGAGGGATTTAGACTCCTGTACCATATATGTGAATGTGTTTGATTGAGTAGGGATTAACAGAGCAGACCATACGTGAAGATAAACATTTTGCATTTGCTTTGCAAATGTTACTTTTCTAGTATTCAGGTCTGTACTTCTGTACTGCTACTACTACTACTACTACTACTACTACTCTACTACTACTGCTGCTGCTGCTGCTGCTACTACTACTACTACTACTACTACTGCTGCTGCTGCTGCTGCTGCCGCAGCTGCTGCTACTACTACTACTACTACTACTACTACTACTACTACTACTACTACTACTACTACTACTACTTCTACTACTACTACTACTACTACTACTACTACTTCTACTACTACTACTTCTACTACTACTACTACTACAGTAACTACTACTACTACTACTTCTACTACTACTACTTCTACTACTACTACTACTACTACTAATGATAATGATAATAATGATACTTCCACAGGTGCCCAGGTGCCTAACCTCGGTACGGAACAGCTCGTCGGCGTGGTTCCGGCGGCGGTACAATCCGGACGTGCCCCTG